GAGGACCCCTGCAGTGAAATCTGGTAAGCACCTTGATGGCAGGAACCCTGCCCTGTGCTCTGCTGCTTCCGGGGCTTGCCAGGTGCTCGGCACCTAGTTAAGGTTCAGTTTGCACTTGAGCCCAACCTTTGCCACCAGCTGCTGGTGGGAATTTCCACAGGGGCCAACACTGATAGTGGGGGTGGGGAGGGGTCCCTGGGTGAGATTAGGGTTTGCACAGAACAGCACTGGGGTAGACACTGAAGGAAAGGAATTGCATACAAAGCTGTTTCCACATCTGTTTGGGCCGCCCTTTCCACACCAAACTGCTAAGCCTTCATAGGAGAACTGCCCGGCAGACCACAGAGAAGAAGAGCAGACAGCCCAGCCCAGGGCCTCTGCCCATAGAAACAACCTGGCGCTCCCGAAAGCTGGCCCCCAGGTACCAGTTTCCGAGGGGGGGATGGCCCGTTATTAGATGGATGCAAGGTTGACATTCTGAGCCGCTCCATTTTCAGACGGCAGAAGCAAATCAACGGCCCCTCCTTGCATCTGGCAGGGTATTTTCTTCACGCAGCAGCACTTAGCAACGGCCTCATGCCTCTGATTAGTGCTGCCATTAGAGAAATGATTCCTCAGCACAGTGAGTCATCTCAGAGCCTGACAACTGTAACCATTCCAGATGGTGAGAACATCAGTGACCATAATGGCCCTTCCTGTCAGTGTTCGCTGTGGATTGTTCTCGGAACCGCGGGGGACAGACACAGGCTCGTAGCCTGTAGAGATTTACAAGGGGTGGCTGCAAAGTAATGACCCTGATGCCACAAGCCACATGTGGAAGTCGGGCGCCGTTCTTTACAGTCACAACTTAGACGAACACGACACCAACTGTGAGAGGCAAGGAACAAAAAGATGCATGAGACCCAGCAGACTGCCAAGCAAGAAATAAGAAACAGGTGCTCAGACTGTCTCTGGGATCGAGCTGTCAACACAAGGGCCCTCTGCGGGCTTCTTTCATAGATAGATGTGCAGGCCTCAGAGGAGAAGGGAGGTGTCCAAGACGTGTGCCTTCCAGTGTAAAGAAAAAGAAGCAATCTGTGGTTACTCAGGTATACAGCAAAAAGTCCAACATCTTGGAATTTTGGATTTTCAGGGAAAGACACTCTAAGCTAAAGAAAAAGAAAGCCAGTTTGTAGAATTTGTGGAAACATCTGTCCCAAACTAGAGATGGCTAAAGAAAAAGAAAATTAACTAGAATCTGTGGAAGTGACTTCATGAAGCTGGTTGAATTAAGCAGTCTCCCCCCACCTGAAAATCTGACTCTTTGAGAGAGGGCTAAGCACAGCTGAATTTATTTTACCAATTTCCAGGCTTACATTATAAAAAAAATAGTTTGGGTGAAACCTCATCATCATTATGGCAAAGTGAAGTGCTCATTTCACAATTGGTTGTTTAAAGTTAATAGTAAATCAACTGTGCAGCCACTAAGAAGATGATGCATTGGCCTAATTCCTTGTTGGTACAGAGGCAGCGGCTGAGTGAATAGATATGTGGAGCTATTGGCAGGCGGCTCCTTTTGGTAATAATATTCATTTTTATGAATGGCTCATTTATTTTTTATATGTTCCTCTTTAGCCCTGCCCTCATTTCTCCCCTCTGTAAGAAGCCTGGATCCCAGGACTCGGAAGGTAGATGAGGAGGGGTGACTCTGCATCTCAATGGGGTGTCTGAAAAGACTGCTACTTAGCACAGCTCCCACGCACTGAAAAACAAGGAGAAAAAAGATGGGCCTGGCACGGTGCCTCAAGCCTGTAATCCCAGCACTTTGGGAGGCTGAGATGAGAGGATTTCCTGAGTCCGGGGGTTTGAAACCAGCCTGGGCATCTTGGCAAGACCTCGTCACTACAATAAATTTAAAAAATTAGCCAGGCGTGGTGGCATGTGCCTGTAGTTCCAGCTACTTGGAAGGCTGAGGTGGAAGGATCACCAGAGCACAGCAGGTTGATGCTGGGGTGGCCGTGAGTGTGCCACACCACTCCAGCCTGGGTGATGGAGTGAGACTCCGGATCCAAAAAAAAAAAAAAAAAAGATGAGGAGAACAACTCCATGGCAGTAAGTGGCTTCCAAAGCGTTGGTCAGCTGGTTATTTTCCAAGCCTACACCTGTTGTCCGCTTAGGTGTGTTTGCTTCTCATCAGAGGGTGACACACCCTTACAGTGAAAGTCTAGCCACTCACCTCCTACAGGAGGAAATTTTCTCTGCACAAGGCATTCTGTCTTGTTCCTCTCATCAACTGGAGGATAAGAGGAGCATACTCAGAGAAAAGAAGAGGGCAACCTTCAAGGAAAATGCATCAGTCCTTTGTCCTGAAAGTTACCAGGGTGGGGTAGATAGTCCGTCCTTGGCTCCAGCTCCTCTTGCCACTGCATGGAGGCTGGCAGCAGGGCCTTGGAGAGGCTGATCTCCACCACCCAGCAGCCCCTGTGTTTTGTCTGCTCACAAGGCTACCTGCTTCCCTAAGGTTTCTGATATGTACCGTGCAGTCAGGCATTGAGCCTGCCCTGTCTGGCCCCCAACACTTGGCTCTTCCTCCACATAGTCTTCCCCCAAACCCAGATGCAAACAGGAAAATTGGGAGAGGGATCGTTCAGGATCTCTTTGGGATTACAAGCCACAGCCGAGGAGGAACTCAGAGTCCTCAGCAAATGTAAGAGGAGTAGAGCAAAGTGGTGAAGAATTTCAGCTCCAGAGGCAAACTGCCTTGCCTGGAATCCTAGGTCTCAACGTGTGATGCTCAACATGTTGCTGAACCCTTTTATGACTCAGTTTCTTAGAAATGAATATAATAGTAATATCTTTCTCAGAGATTTGTTGTAAGGTTTAAATGGGTTAATGCAGGCAAATTGCAAAGAACAAAGCCTGGTAAGCCCAGTTCAGTGGCTCACACCTGTAATCCCAACACTTTGGGAGGCCTAGGTGGGAGGATCACTTGAACCCAGGAGTTTGAGACCAGCCTGGGCAACATAGTGAGACCTGTCTCTACAAAAAGTTAAAAAATCAACACAGGCGTGGTGGTGTGCATCTGTAGTTTCAGCTACTCATTTCAGGTACTCCCTGAGCCCAGGAAGTCAAGGCTGCTGTGAGCTGTGATCAAGCCACTGCACTGTGGCATGGGCAACAGAGTGAGACCTGAAAGGAAGGAAGGAAGGAAGGGAGGGAGGGAGGGAGAAAGAAAGAAAGGAAGGGAGAGAAAGAAAGAAAATTGCCTGGTGCTGTGGTCTGAATGTTTGTATCTCCCCCAAATTAATACATTAAAATTTAATCACCAAGATGATGGTATTAAAAGGTGGAACATTTTGGAGGTGATTAGTTCATGAGGATAGAGACATCACGAACAGGATTAGTGCCCTTATTAAAGAGATTCAGAACTTAGGCTAGCCCTTTCTACCATAAAGGATACAGTGAGAAGACACCATCTGTTTCCTAGGAAACAAGCCATCACCAGCTACCAAATCTGCAGGCACTTTGATCTTGGACTTCCCAGTCTCCAGAGCCGAGAAATAAATTTCTGTTGTTTATAAGCCACCCAGTCTAAGGCATTTTGTTATAGCAACCCAAATGAACTAAGACAGCTGGCATAAAGCTTTACCTACTGTTATTATTATTATTTCAACTTCTTGTACTAAGCAGTCCCTCATTTAAACAAAAAATGGGCCAGGTTTGGTGGCTTAGTCTGTAATCCCAGCACTTTGGGAGGCTGAGGTGAGTGGACTGCCTGAGCTGTGGGTTCGAGACCAACTTGGGCAACTTGGCGAGACCTCATCTCTACAATAAAAAGAAATAATAATTTAAAAACACAAAAAATGCCTAATTGTACTCACCACTCTGAACTCTGCTCTCAGGAAGAAGACCTCCTTAGGGGAAAGTAGAGCTCTCCGTCTAGCCCTCTCAGATCCACATGGAGGGAGCCAGTCTTTTAAAGTAATGGTGCTTAGACACCAAGGGAAAAATACTTGGGGAAGGTTTTCCCCCAGTGGAAATCTAAAAAATGCTCTACTTCCAGGATTCAGTTGGCCACCATCTCACTGGTGTTGCTATCTCATCAGGTCTTTTGGGGCTCAGATGGCACTGTGCAGGGCTTGCTATCAATTCCTAACAGGTCAAAGCAGACCCTGTCGCTGGAGGACTCACACTTTAAGGGAGCTAAGACATTCATTCATGGGGAAAGTTAGGCAGCATACTAGGAGGGAACCCCCCCCCAAAAAAAACCAGAATTATGTTTTGGAGGGTGGGTCCCTTGTTAAAGGCTTCCCCCCACTAAACTTCACATCAGTGCACCAGCTAGCATTGTTGTGAGAGGCTGTGTTCAGTTTCAGTGGATTTTTCTTTTTGAGATTCTTTCAATGCGTTTGCCCATTTCATGATGGGTGATTTACCAGCACACCTGCTCACACCCTGCTGAATGTTCGCAGTTTTCAACCCCAAACGGCATGGCCCCCATGCCACACCCTACCTCTTCACCGAATCTCACCCCAGGTGACTTTTTATGTTTCCCAGATGAAAAAATCCTCAAAGGGAAAGTTTAGCTGGTGTGGAAAACGTGAAACAAAAAAAACGCAGAAGCACTAAAAGGCATCAAAACTGACAAGTTCAAAACTATTCTGAGCAGTGGAAAAATCATCTCGATAGGTGTATTGCAACAAACAGAGAGTACTTTGCAGGTGACTGAAGTTTAAACATATAAGAATTAATACACAATTTTTCAACAAATAAATTCCGAGTGTTGGGGTCTCCCTTGTAAAAGGCAGCTTGTGGTCGAGCTTCTATGGTGTGTGGCTGAGAGGGGAGCACACAGGGGCTCAGGGGAGGAAGGGCTCAGGGGATGGAGGGTTCAGGGCAAGCAGCTTAGCCCTGGCAGCCACAGCACGGGCCCTTCAGACCTATTTTCCCAAGGATAATAAGAATGTTTCTAACTTTTTTCTCTTCCTCCCCAAACCCTTTCTTCTTCTTTCTTCTCCTAGAATTTACTTGCCATGTGTCTCAAGAAAGACTCAGAACACTGAGACAGGATAGGAGCTTAGAGTGGCTCTCTCCAAGTGTGGTCCTCGGTCTCCCTGCTTGAGAACTATCTGGAGTGCTCATGAGAACGGCCGATGCTTGGGCCAAATCCCAGGTTGCTGAATTAGACCCTGCAGTGGTGACCTGGAATTCTGCATTGTAAAGAAGTTACTCAGGTGCTATTGAAGCATACTTCAGCATGAGAACTGTTGACTTGGAAATAATTTAGTCTAGCTTCTGTATTTTGCACATTGGGAAACTGAGGCTCAGGGAAATGGAGCAGCTTTCCCAAAGTTACCCAGCTAGTTAGTGGCAGAAGCAGATGCCCATAGGAGAGGAAATGCAAGTATGTTCTTATGGCAGAGAAGACTTTGGGCTTTCTAGATGGGGAACCTTCACAGACAAGCCAACATTGAATCCCATCTCCTCTCCAGCTGGGAAGTAGTACTGGCTACAGCAACGTGGGGCTTATTGCCATATTTTACAACAGATATAAATGCTGCATTTTCAAAGAAAACTAGAATCGAGTGCATGCCCAATAAAAATAAATTAATTTTAATGAGGATCTCACTTACAGTGTTTATAGAGTTTTGCATGTTTCATGATTTAATGCTATTTAACCTTGAGTGTTGACATTAATGAATGAAGTGGTTTTTTAAAAACAATAAAGGACTGTATATATAACTATTTCTCAGCCTTTTGCATTTCACGATTACTAATTATAGCACAAACTATGTAAACTAGCAAAAAGTCGATAATGACAGGCAGATGGGAAAATATCAAGAGGTAAGGCAGAAAGGTGGGAAAAATGTAATGACAGTACACATGCCCTATGTGCTGCAGCCAAGCTCTGCTGTTCTGCACTGTCCTGGTTCATGCCCTTCCTCATGCTCTTCCCTAGGACTGGAATGCCATTTTCTTGAACAAGCTATTTGCTCTCAAAGACCCAGCACAAACTCATCTTCTCTCCCCAACCAAGAGTCATCCTTCCTCCTCTGTGTCTCCAAGCCACTACAAGGGGAGACCCCCCAAAAACTGGAATTATCTTTCGGAGGGCAGGTCCTTGTAGTATGGGCTTCCCCTGTTAGGTAAATGCTCTAGGAACCCATCAGTGTACCAGCTAGCATTGTTGTGAGAGACTGAGTTCAGCTTCAGTGAATTTTTTTTTGAGATTCATTCAGTGCGTTTGCCCATTTCACGATGGGTGATTTACACACACAACCTGCCCACACTGCGCTGAGTGTTCAGCAGTTTTTGACCAAAAGTGGCATGACCCCCATATCCCACCCTCCCTATTCACCTGATCCTGTCCCCAGCGACTTTTTTTGTTTTTCCAGATGAAAAAATTTCTCCAAAAGAAATGCTTTGCTGATGTGGCAGAGGTGAAACAAAAAATGGCAGAAGCGCTAAAAGGCACTAAAATTGACGAGTTGAAAAACTGTTGCGAACCGTGGAAAAAGCATCTTGATATGTGTACTACATTAAATAGAGAGTACTTTGGAGGTGACTGAAGTCACATGTAAGAAAAAATGCACAATTTTTGTTAAATAAATTCCAGAGGTTTTGGGGGTCCCTCCTCATATATCTGCTACGCTGAATTTGGGCACAATCCTTATCTCCCAGAACTGCTTCTTGACAGGAGGATCCTGGCTTCCTCTTTCCCCCCACCAGGGCCCACTGTGCCCTACTTAGACAAGGTGCTCAGTAAATGTCAACTGAAGGAACAGATGAATGAGACTCAAATAAGCGGGCACCTAGTATCCAGGGTTACGCTTTGCACAAGTCCTTGGTGGTCAATGTCAGTGGTACACCTGCACGGCAACACTGGTAATATGCAGGCTGATTCTGAACACAGACTATCTGGGTTCAGATCCCAGACTACATGCTACCTGTGTGATCATGAGCAGGTCATGTCAGCTCTCTGTGTGTCGATTTCTCTGTCAGTAAAATGAGAGTGACAATGCACTTATAACCTGAGGAGTTAAGTGAGTTGGTTCACATGATGCACTTAGAAAAGTGCCCGTCACAGAGTAAGTACTCAGTCAAAGTCCTCATCATCATCCCACCATTCCCACGTAGAGTGACTCACTTTGTGAGAATGTCCTCTGTGACCCAATGACCTAAACATGGCGTCCCGGCCTAGAGTTCTGGCAGCATGCATGCCTACCAACTGCTCAGCAAGGAGCCTCCCAGCTACTCTATATCACAATAAAATGAACCTATCAGGTCCTCTATCTAATTCCACAGACTTGCAGTTTGTGCTGTTTCAGCTACTAGACTGTGAACTCTGTACATGCAGAGATAATATTAACAACCAGCACTACAGAATCCTAACCACAGCCCAGCCCAGTGGCTCACACCTAGAATCCCAGCACTTTGGGAGGCTGAGGCGGGAAAAACTGAGTGAGCCCGGGAGTTTGAGACCAGCCTGGATGAGACACTGTCTCTACAAAAATTAAAAAATTAGCTGAGCATGGTGGCAAATGCCTGTCGTCCCAGCTACTCAGTAGGCCAAGGTGGAAAAATCACCTGAGCCCAGCAGGTCAAGGCTGTGGTAAGCGATGATCATGCCACTGTACTCCAGCCTGAGTATAAGAGTAAGACTCTGATTCAGAAAAAAAAAAAAATCCTAACCACAATCTAGGCACTCACTACTCAGGGCATTCATATATGTGAACTCATGTCATTTTTCGAGCAGTATCATAAGAGAAAGGTTAGGTAACCTGCCCAGAGACACATACACAGCTTTAAATACAGGCAGTCTGGCTGCAGGGCCTGTGGGTTTTTCTAAGCTATCTCACCTCCCCTCTGTATCAATACTCTAGTACCTAGTGGCACTCAGGAAATGTTTGCTAAATGAATGAATCCCAGGGACATCTTTAGGGAAGCCTTCTAGTATTTTCTCTGTCCAGGGTTTCTAACTAGCTTTCTCTCCCACTGACCCTGGTAAGACCTCCAAGCACGACTGATCAGTGTTCCTGCTCTTGTCAGGAAACCACGTGTGCTCCCCTGGGCTGCTAGAGGAAGTCATCTGTGTAACTCCATGCCATGGTCCCCTCCCAGTCCCTTCTCCCTTTCTCTTTTTTAGAAAGAGATAAGCAGAGACTCCACAGCAATCCTGAAAATTGAAAACTGCTTTGTTAGCCTGCCTGGTGGAATAAAAAAGGATTTAAAATTTTTTTTAACAGGATTTGCTGAGGTGAGAGGATTGCCTGAACCCAGGCATTCAAAACCAGCCTGGGCAACTTGGCAAGGCCTTGTCTCTACAATAAATAAAAAAATCGGCCAGGTGTGGTGGTGTGCACCTATAGTCCCAGCTACTTGGGAGGCTGAGGTGGAAGGATCACCTGAGCCCAGAAGGTTGAAGCTGTGATAGTTGTGGTCATGTCACTGCACTCCAGCCTGGGTGACAGAGTGAGACTCTGACTAAAAAAAAAAAAAAAGAAAAGAAATTTTAACTGGATTTTATTTTCAATAATTTTTTTTAACTGTATGGAAAGTTAAAAAACTGTATGTTCTGTACATGGTAACAAAACAAACAAAAACAAAAAAAAGAAAGATATACATGTTAATTGTGGAAATCTGGCTGGGCACAGTGGCTCATGCCTATAATCCCAGCACTTTGGGAGGCTGAAGTGAAAGGACTGCTTGAGCCCAGGAGTGCAAGATCAGCCTAGGCAGCATAGTGAGACCTCGTCTCTACAAAATATCAAAAAATTAGTGGGGCATGATGGTGCGCCCCTATAGTTCCAGATACTCAAGAGGCTAAGGCAAGAGGATTGTCTGAGTCCAAGAGGTCAAGGCTGTAGTGAGCCGTGATTGTGCCACTGCCCTCCAGCCTGGGTGACAGAGTGAGGCCCCAACTCAAGAAAAACTTGTAGAAATTTTAGCAATTGCAGACATTCACATAGAAGAAAATTTAAAGTGGAGGACATTTTTGCTTTTCATTCAAAATATTTTTTTCGGGTTAATGATTTTCATGAAATGATTCTTACGGTAAAAATGTGAAAAGAATCCATGTGATTAGACATTATATGTTATGGGGAGAGAAAATCTTTCCAGTTCTGCTTTGTTTGCATTTAACTTCCCAGGTTCTTGATATCCTTACTATCTTCCTCTCTTGCCCTAAGTAGTGAGGTGAGGCCCAGAAATTTCCTTGATTCTCTCATAGTTCCCAAGGACAGATGGGCAGAATGTGTCCAAGTTTGGTCTGGATTACAGAAATGCATGTAGACAAACATACATTCCACGCTGGAAGCAAAGCTTTGAGGATTTCCTACCTTCCTCTTCAGAATTCTTCCTCCTTTCGAAAAAATTGGTCCTGGTCACCAGTTAGAGATAGTCATTCTGTTTCACAAATAAGTTTCAAAAGTCATTCATGCTACAAGAATATTAGACTTACAATTAGAATTCTTCTCTTTCGGTTTTTAATATTTCTGCCTTGGTTAATGAAATGTATTCACCCGATTCTTTTTAGAAAGACATATATTACAAGGTAATATGTATTTACTATAGAACATTTGGAAAATATTAGAAATGCACTAAGAAGAAATGAAAAGCATCAGTAAATCCACCATTCAAAGAACCTGGCCCATTTTCAGATTCTGACTCTCGAATGTGGATAAGTCAGAGGAAAGGGAAAGCGGGACAAATTTCATGGTGGATATCACTGTATTTGGCCAGGATGCTGGACTGTCTCAGTTCATTGTGTTCTAGTTCCCTTTAGAAACTGCTGGTCCTTGTATCCTCTCCCCCACAACCACCCACCCACCTACCCAATCACCCAACCACCAACCATCCCCCTAACTGTCTGCCCGCCCTTCCACCCTCCCATCTACCACCCATCAGTTTCAGGAATCATTTTTACAGGGTTAGGCATGAAACCCAGACAGTCTAATGAAATTCTTCCTGGAAGACTTTTACAAATTGGATCCAGGGAAAGCGATCCCTCCTGCTCTGGTGGTAGAGATGGAAATCTCCCTGGAGCTATGAGTTGCTATAGTTATAGCCCTGGAGGGAAAGCTGGCTTCAGGGAATGAAGGATAGACAAAAAACTGGAGAAGCCTTACTATGTGTGAGTCACTGAGTTGCCTGGTCCTCCGTCCAGTTGTATCTGGTTCTTGCTGTCCCGGGAATCAGCAACTTCCCGCCCCTCCCCAGCCTTATTACACGAGCCAATGCATTTCCCTTTGGTCTGTGCTGGTTGAGTTGGACATTTTCTTTTTTTTTTTTTTTTTTTGAGTTGGAGTCTCACTCAGTCGCCCAGACTGGAGTGCAGTGGCCACTCCCGGCCACTGCAACCTCGACCTGCTGGTCTCCGGCGATCCTTCCGCCTCAGCCTTCCAAGTAGCTGGAACTACAGGCATGCGCTACCACACCTGGCTAATTTTTTGATTTATTGTAGAGATGAGGTCTCACCAAGTTGCCCAGGCTGAGCCACCGAGCCTGGCAGACATTTTCTTACTGGAGCCAAAAATCTTTAAACAAACACACCCATATTCATTTAAGGAGAGAAAATTACAAGTGTATGTATTCCGATTAACTTTATTTTAACTCAAAAGAAAGTATTGGACCTCATATCACCTACTCTGGATATGGTCAAAGGTGCAGGTGGTACTGTCACCCCCCGCTGGGCTACTTGCACTGTTCTGGGGGGGAGGGTGAGATCTGCAGGAGCACAAGCC